ATAGATGATTCATCTATGCATATTCATGAATTACTGTCCCTCTTACAGATCTGTTGAAGAGAAGTGTGAAAGACAGGAAAACAGAACTGTTTACTCTCACTCAAGACACTGTACAGGCATTTGCAGAATTGAAACAAGCTTTCACAGATATCACAATACTGAATCACTTTAATCTCAACTTACTCAGTCAGTGTGAGACTGACATATCTGAGAATGAGATCTGTGAAATCTTTTCACAGTTGACACTGAAGATCTTTCAATGTTGAAAGAATCAGAGAATAATTATTTCTGAGAAAACAGACAATGAATTATCTGTGAAAGAAGACTTTTTCACAGAGTCTATAAGATACTGTGAATGAAGATCAGTGACCTTCTTCTTCAAGAAGTTATCACTCATGCAGAGAAGATATAATACTCATGATCAGAAGATGTTAGTAATTGTTGAATTCTTTAAAATCTAGTAACATTATCTTCAGAGTAGTAAGTACTCAGTGCAAGTTCTCACTGATTATACAAATCTGTGTTACTTCTTGATAATAAAGAGCTTGACAGAATGTCAAGCCAGATGAGTGAAGCTGCTTTTGAAGTATGATTTCTATATCTGATACTGTTCAGGTCAGCTTAATCTCACTAATACACTGTCTAGACAGCCTGATTATAATATTGTTGATACAGAGAAGAATTCTACAAAAGAATCTCTGTTATCACTGTAGAAGAAGCTGGCTGCAGAGGATTGAGATTCTTTAAAGCTCAGAAACAGCACTGAAGAGGCAGCTGCATGACTCAGTATAGAAGGTGAAAGAGAACTCAGGTTCTCACAGAGAACTGACACTGAAGATTATGAGCTTCTTATATCATATCTTACAATCATTGAATTGATAAAGAATGAAACAGTCTACAATCTTTCAATCTGACTATTTTTGAAATTTATTAATAAGTTATAGAAGAGGGATGTCTTTACTGCAGCTTGAATTCAGAAGTTGAAGAAGAAAGAGTCTGATTTGAACTTGAAAGAGACAGACTCTGAGCAGAGTAATACTGCTAAGAAATCAAGTTACTGATAACTAGAAGAATGTGAACTTCTACTACTGAATGATTCAGTCTTTATCTCTTGTAGTAGAGCAGTGTGTCAGAAGTTATTAAGAATTTATTATAATAATTCTCATGTGAGGCACTTCAGGTTAGAGAAGACTGAGAAGCTTCTAAAATATAAATACACTTGAGACAAGCTTCAGACAGATGTCAAAGAGTATATTGAAACTTGTGATATCTGTCAAAGAATAAAGATCTCACAGTATAAGTAATATAATGAGTTAGTATCACTGTCTGTTTCAAAGAGCTTATAACAGAATCTATTAATGAATTTCATAGTTGATCTACTGAAGTTGATAAGAGTTAAAGAATATAACTTAATTTTAATCATTATTGACTGCTTTATAAAGATAATCAGATATATCTTTATTTATAAAAAGATTAAAGCCTCTGAATTGACTGATCTATTTTTAGATATCATCATTTGTAATTACAGTGCTCTGAAATCATTGATAACAGATTGAGAATCTCTCTTTATCAGTAAGTACTGATTAGCTTTTTATTATCATCTTATAATAAGATGTCTTCTCAGTACTGTATTTCATTCACAGACTGATGATCAGACTGAACACTAAAATCAGACACTAGAACAGCATCTTCAAGTATTCTATTCATATTATCAGAATGATTGACTTAAACATCTTCTAACTACTGAATTTGTATATAACAATACAAAGAATGCAATCTTAAAGATATCTTCTTTCTATACTTATTATAATTATAATTCTTTATTATTCAGTGACATTGCAGATAACATTTCAAAGAAGAGAATAGACAGTCAGAATATTAGACAGATACAGAGAATGAAGTATTTCTCAGTACTAGAAGTAAAAGTGAGATTGAAACTTTTGAATAAAATTCATGAGAAGACAGTGAAAAGCATTCATTATACTCAGAAGTGATAGATAAAATACTATAATTAAAAACATCTTCTGATGAAGTTCTTGATAGAGGATTAAGTACTACTTTTAGCAAAGAATATCAAGATAATAAGACTGTATAAGAAGCTCAGTGAGTGATAACTAGAACTTTTCTCAGTAACAAGAGTGATGAGTAAGCAGACATATAAGTTGAAATTACTCACAGAATTGAAATCAATTCATTCTGTTTTTCATATTTTCTATTTAAAGCTTTATAAGTAATACTCTGAGATGAAGCTGTCTCAGCTGAATAATATCAAGATTGAGAGTGATACTGAATATCTTATGAAGAAAATATTGAATAAGTGAATATATTATAATAAACTTCAATATCTTATAAAATGAGAAAAATATTCATCATCAGAGAATTTGTAAGAATTACTTAAGTATTTGAAAAATACTGAGAAAGAGATTGTAAGCTATGAGATAGCTAGTAGAGATCACTCTGTTACACATCAGAGATATTGAGCAAGAAATGCTGCTTGAGACTTCTTGTTTTTCTCAAAGAGTTTTTTAGAGATAATCTCACAGTAATAAGTCAGCATCTTGTAGACTCTGTAGCACTCTTCTTCTATTTTCTCTCAAAGAGTTTTTTAGAAGTTTAATAAGACTACACAAGTGTAAAAATTCTGAAGTAGTTAGAGAAAAGAAATATTTGAAATCAATAAAAAAGATTAATATTAATCAACTCACAGATCACTACTAATCTAATGAGACTGCAGTCTGTTGAAAAAGTAAAAAGAGAGAATCTCAGAGTCTACTTATTAATAATCACACTCTCATTAAACTTATTCTTCACTGTTAAAGTCTTCAGTACTGATATCTTTATCTGCTGAGAAGTTAGTACTGCAGTATCACAGAGAAGCATGCTGCAGAAGAGTATAAGAGATACTAAAAGTATTAACTTATTAACTTATAAAGTATTTCAGTTATCTGTTTCAACTGAAGTGAGATTCTCTTTAATTAGTAATTAATCTCTGTAATACTTTTAACAGTGATACTGACTGATCTCTTCTTAAGATCAGTTATTCTGAGATGTTTTTTCATCTCAGAGATTTACACTTTCATCTTCTTTTACAGATAAGTAAGAGAGATCTTCTCAGTCTTGATAAAATTTATTAATACTTGAAGCTCTGAGACTCTCACTCTATACTACTTAAGCATCTGAGCTTCTTGTCAGAGCTGATACAACATCTTCTTATAGAGTAGATAATACTTACAGAGAGATAGAAGTTATTGTTACAGATATAATGAAAATAATGAGAGTGAGAGAAGAGATAAATATATAGAATTTCCTTCTTCTTCAGCTGCTTGATACAGTATAGATAAGTAGTAATATCAGTCAGAGACTGCACTGAAGCCTTCTCATAGAGAGAAGATGAAGAAATTACAGAACTCTGCAGATTTAACTCAGTAGTATTCTGAGCAGAGCTTGAGTATGCTGTGAAAGAGAAACTATGAATTGAGCTTCTTGAAGTCACTGTTCTCAGAATCAAGCTCTTTTCAAGTTTCTCTCTGAATGATTACATGAGGTCATATATCACTGTATTGACTGAGAGAGAAGGCAGTGTCACAACAGTGATAAAGAAAGTAGAGAACAGACTGAATATAAATAAACTGATCAGTAGAAGGAATGACATCTCACTGTAAGACACAGCAACTATCATCACAGCTGTAAAAGAAGCAGAAGAAGAAGAAAATATGATAATGAGAGTGATACTTCTGCAGCTTATTAACACTGCTATCTTCATCTTCAATCTGACTTTCTTAGCAGTCATGAAGATCACTGTCACATTATGAAGATATTTACTCACTAGAAAATGTCAGAATAAGCTCTTTACTGTTCTTCAAGAATGATACTCTCATGCACTCACTATTGTAGATGAGAAGAGAGGAAGAAAAAAGTGTCACAGAGAAGAGAGATCTTTTCAAAAAAATCCTGTCACTACTGTTAGCTTTGCTTCTAAAACACACTACTTTTGCAGAGAATTTTATATATAGAATGAAAGATATTGAAAGATCTGTAAGTTACTTATTAATTACATTTTTCATCTTTTAAATCAATATATAAGGAACTCACTTATCACATGTTTGATTTGAATGAAGATGAGAAAAGAAAGATCTATGCAGTCAGCAGAAAAACTCATCTATTTCTTTGTGTCACATGTAGCATATGTGCTGTCAATTGATTAGCAACTGTTGCTATACAACAAAGATAATTCCTAATCTGATAATCTTGAGAGCATAGGGACTATGCTCTTAAAGGAGAGGGCATTGTCACACTCCCGGCCGCGCCAAGGCCCTGTTGCGGTTTCACACAGCCCATCACTTCCATGCAGATGATTCCATCCATCCCGCAGGCTGTCTGAACCGGTTTCCAACCACCCTATGACATCATGCGGATGTATCATAGGAAGATCTGATTGATGGATATGAGAACCCCGCTTCTATACAAGGTCAGCAGATTACTCTTCCTTGGCAATGAGGCGCCGCTGAGGTATTGCTCCGGCTATCCTCACTCGTGGAATGGGAGGAGGGTATCCGCCCATTGTCTATATAGAATAGCTAGATGCTGGCTCCTCATCAAAGGAGCCAGCGATTCATTTTGCTCCTACTGAAATATACACAAGAGTTACTGCGTGCCTCATACAATCTTCTTAGTATACTAAGTACCATATCTGTGATATCCTCACAATAACCCTGTAGCCTATGAGCTCGCTATTCAAGCAAGATAGTCAAGCCCACCCATACGGCTTCCCAAACAACTACCCCTACGTGTCGCCGCCGACTAGCCACCGCTTCGGTTCCGCCACGTTACAACTATGTTGATTATGTCTTCTGACTGCATGTTCTCATTTACAGCAAGATTAAATGAGAATGATATCTATGAGATGGAAAGGCTGGTTACATACAGAGACTTGATTCAAACTTATGATAATGCAATGATATTAAAAGCTAGAACATCTAAATCCTGTGTATATTGCAAAAATGACACATTCAATCTTCACATCTATGACACAAGCTGTCAAGCTGGCAATGAGATTCTTCATTGATCTGGCAGGGGGTGGAAAAACACTTTTCAATGGGAATGACACCCTCACTAGAGGAGGTGCAAGTTATTGATTGAGTATAACAGACAATGCAACCTGTTTATATGACGCCGGGTTGATGAATCGCGATTTGATTGAAAAAGGGAAAATCATGATGAAACATGTTGGTTCTACAGTGAACATAGCTGATGGGCTCACCAAGTCACTGGCGAAGCCTGCATTTGAAGAATTTGTCAAGAGGGTTGGCATTCAGGAAATTGAGAAGAAGGAATGATTGAATGGTAATGATGATACGGCGGATCAATGGATTTTGCATGTATTTCTTGATTTTTATGGTTATTGCCGTACGGACGCCTTTCCTAATGAGGAAATCAGGGTCCGATTCATGTAATTAATTATTATTGCATTTTTGAAAGATTTGAGGATGGAGGAGGCCCCGGGTGGTGGCTTATTATAGGCCACGGTGTAGCAAGGGGGGGTGTTGGTGATTACTACACCTACCCTAGTCACGTGCCACCCCAACCTATTCATTTAGTGTAACTCGCGTAGTTAGATTACAACACAACACAACAACGTTATCCTTCAAGAGAGATTGCAAGACATAACCTAAATTAGCTAGCTTAATTCAACAACAACACAAGTTTCTCCATCAATGAAGATACAGTTGTGCAGCCAATGTCATCTTTTCTTCCAAAAAAGGCTGAATGCTTGACAGACACAATCTTTTGACTCTTTTGCTGATCCCACCAACAGTATCAGAACATATTTTAGGTGGATTTTTCCATGACCAGCACTTCAATCACACTAGTACTAACATTTTAACTGACAAATTTAGGGATGTAGCGAACTACCAGACAAAACTGCACACCATCCCTTTCCCTGGCCTTGCCTCAAAGCAGAACCACCGCAGCAATAATAGCAGAAGCCAGATACATCAGACCTGCAGTAACAACCGGGCTACTGCCCGATGTATATGGCATAGGAGTGAGAGCACAAGGCATTGAACCAATTGTTGCTGTTGGCCGCCATGTTCTGCCTGTTACCAGCAAACCAGTTCCTTGCACAGAGCTTCTGTAAAGACCCATGGAAGCCCCCTGACAGCCTGATCCGCTTGGCTGTGGCATCGTACCCGTCACTAAACTCGCACCGAGGCCGCTTTCGACGCCCATGGGTATTCTAATGGTAGCTGGAGTTGAGCTAGTCACAGTAATTGTGACCTCCCTGGTGATGGTGCTGACTTCCTCAGTCCCGGTTTGGTCACTTTAATAATCATTTTCTGATTCTGTTAGTTACCAAAAAGTGGCGTGGCGCAACAGGATGACTTGGAGCCAATGAGCACCTTATGATTGCTGCAACCTGTGCATTTGCCTTTATCCGAAAAATCTGGTGCCAGAGACACCGGACCGCAATCAATCGATGATGCCGAATCAACAAAGCTCTGCCGAAACAACCTTCAACATCCCAGAACTGCTGATGAGCATTTGTGAATTGGTGGATGACCGTACACTTTTGAGCTTGCCACGTGTAAATCGGTCATTCAAAGCTGCCTGCGGACAAGGCAGGCTTCTTCGACGCTTGAATGCACACAGGAGGATACTAAGGGGAGACATTGGGACGCCATCCAGATTCAATCCTCCAGATAATTGCACATTCTGCGAGGGTCCATATGGGAAACATGTCGTCTTCCAGTATGATGAAAATTTCATGTCAGTCTGTGGCCCTGTTACAGGCCACGACAGAGTGCCGCGTCTTATGTATCCGGTCCTCTTTGGTGGCGGAGAGCTATGTTTTGGGTACGAACTTACTGGGGTGTCAGGTCCGAAACTTGTCGTTCGGTGTGTTTCGCACTGGCGGTTGGTCGCGGAAAGATCGTTTAATGGGGAAGTTTTTGCTATGAATAGCGCAGAGGAGTGGTGCATCTTTCACAGAGACAGTGATTTGCTTATTCAGTTCACTCGTCAGCATGGAGAGATATCCCATATGGAACAGTTCCCTCAGGCGCCCTCTTCACAAGCTATTGCATCCAACAGCAAACCAAATATCAGCGCTTCCCAAGCGTGGCGGCGTTGCCGCACTAAGTGCGACTGACGGCGCGGTCCGAGTATGGAAAGACATCAATAAACCTGGTTGCTTTTTCGAATTTATCGTCCCGAATGCGTGACGTTTTTGTCCACTCGGCCTTTGTGTTTTGAGATTTGATATTGTATCAGATTGCAGCTTGGATGATGTTTATTTGTTGGACACCGGGGAGCCTCTTTCATGCAGGCAAGAGTGCTTGATCAAAGGCGAGCTGTGCGCAGACTTTCTGGATGGAGCATATGTTGTTAGATATCCGGGACAATACCCCCATAGCCGAAAGGAGGTGACATTCAAAGTTTTTGACTGCACAGGCATACAGACTGCTTCTTTTGACCACCTATCTGCTCGAGCATGTGTTAATCTCATGGGTACATACCTTGCCACCACGGGAGATGATGGTTGTTTAAAGATTTGAGCGAAAGATGGCAAACTGCTCGGGCAAGCATGGTTAGGATATTCGTGTGTGGCACTTTTTGCACATGATTGCGGCCTTATCGCAACTTCATTTTATGAGTCTAGCTTTCTGTTTGACGAAATTGCTGAGTGGGACTTTAGTACTGTTTGATAAAGCTCATTTACAGAATTTTAACAATAAATTTTATGTCGATTTTGGCGCTGTGATCAAACAAGTGTGTTCTCTTGAACATATAAATCAGTATATAGATGGGTGGGTGGATGGTCTACTACCCAATATGCAAACATTACCTTGAGTGTCTCCGGGCGGCTATTCTTGGTGACATGCATAGTTGAGAGGTATCTGAAACAACTCGCCCACTTCACACAACAGGTTTCTATACAATCATGGCAATATTATACAGAGAATGCTTGCCATTATACTGTGTTAGCGCTCCTGGTAGTCAAGTTTTCCTATTTCCAGAAGATTTTCTCCTCACAGGAGGTGGGATTTTGGCATAGAGCTTGGTGGTTTAATCCCTCCACAGACCATGGGATTATAATTATCATGGTGCAGAAACTATATATATATAACATTGGTGACAAGCGCATCATCTGCTTGGAGTTAAAACAGCAACACAATGGGGACTCACAGCAACACAGCCTATGTTGAAATGTTATTGTTGGCTGACAATATCTCATGGAAATATACTCTTTATGCTAAAATCTTAAACTGGTTGTTGCTAGCCGGATATTTGATTCTCCCAGGCACATTTACCAACCACCCCTTATCACGCGCTGTGCAATACCTTGCGAAAACCGGGACAAATACATTGGATTTCAGATCCATCCAGAATCCAGGGCTGTTAGCCCTTGCTTGCCTACTTCTTGCTGTCAGATGGCCCGGTATTACCTAGCTTGGCTAGATTTAGAGAGGAAATTATATCTGGCTTATTGACCAGATTTTCATGTAAGTGAGTGATAGCTTCAGACAGGCAACTCTCATTAACGGATTCTAGACCTAGCCTGCTAAACTCTGCCGCGGGCCTTGTCACCACATTGATTAGTATATATACAGCCAAAAACGGGCACTGGTCCGCGACCGCAATTGCCGCCGTGGTTGTCACTGGCTCTTCAGCTGCTCTTGCCGGGGGGCTTCTTCTGGTGTACAAATTTCAAAAGCTGAGGAGGATTAGGGGGTCTTAGTTACTGGGTATGAAAACAGAGCTGAAGGGTCAATACCTGCTGTGGGTGGCCGGAAGAGGATGGTGACTCTGACTAGGCATTCTTAGCTTTCGCAAACTTAATGACAAGCCGTGTTCAAACCTTGAGTTTTCCCAGGTTGCGAGTAACACATGTATCAAGGCATCGGCGCTCTTCTTCTCGGAGAATACAGCTGCAAATGACGGGGTTTCCATGATGCTCAATAGCTTCTCTGTAATCAGAATAGTTCTGGTCTGAACAACCTCCATCCTTCTCTGAAGATGGTTTACGGTGCTATTGAGGATCAATCAGTCTTATTCTCTTGAGAGTCTCTGTACACCTACCACTTTAATTTCTGCACCCTATCAACAGTCAGTGTGTTCAACTACTGGCGAGAGCATGCTTACTCATTTTGTGAAACCGTTATCGGGTTCATCTCCATCAGACGACGTGTTGGGATTGACGGTTGGGAAGGCCACCCTCGGGGCAGATTCTGAGACTGCAATTGTTGACTCGTTGCGTATAGAGGATAGAGGATAAGAAGTTAGTACAGTAAGATAGGGGGAAATGATCATTACAAGTTGTAACACATTGAGAGAAAAGCGAGTGAGGAATACTTGTGCGGAGCAGAAAGCTGATCAATCAAAGAGTACCTCAAGGCAGAAACTGCATTGTTTTATGTACAATCCCAACAATGCTCGCACATCGGCAGATAGTTATGCTGGAGCCGGTTCACAGTGGGGAACAGAGGTCTCACAGGAATGAATTCAATTGGGCCAACAATGAGACCATGAATTTCATGGCCTCCATGGTCGAAAATGTGGTGACCATGAGTTTCATGGCCGCTGGTTGAAATTTCATGGCTGTGCTTCACACTCTTGGGGCAGTTCACCTATATCAGTGTCCAAATGCTGCAACTCTTGCTGGTGACTTGCAGCAAAATCTCCCTAACTTCTCCCTTCTTCATACAATGGACTGCATTGATGAGCTAGAAACCGAGCGTAGGCGGCGTAGACGGACGGAGACTCTGCTAGGAAAGCTCCATGATTATTGCCTAAAATGCTACAGTGAAGTTGATGTTGTGATTGCTGAGTACCCAATTCGGAAACTCTCCAACACAGAGGAAACACCGAGTGCCTTGTCAATAACTACATCATAGCTCAGTTCTCAGTTGCCGGAAGCACGAAATCTCAACCTGATTGGAGGAGCCTCCCAAGAATTCGAAGCGATCGGAAGGCCACGCTGGAGGACATGCTTTACCGGTATCACCGGGATTGCAACAGTGATATCTACATTTCCATTTCAGAGCATGCAATAAACCAATCCGATAAGAGAAGATGGCAACCATCAATCCAAATTTTTGAGCACCGACTTGTGAAGGATACAAGTAAATGCTTTCCTCCATCAAAAGAGGAACTGGTATGGAAAATCTTGTGTTCTCTGTGTGATTTTACTCATGTCTTGATAGGAGAAATGCTGTCCGCGCCCCGTTCAAATAACCTTGGAGAACTTCTCCAAATCCAAATCTGCAAAGGCTTTAAAGCAGGATAGATCGATTCCGCTGAGTTTTTCGACCATCCCTCATTCCACTAAGAAAATGGATATATTTGTACCGAGGCCGTCTCTAGGCGAAGTAGGCTTGGTACGGAAGATGATCAGGAGAAAAGAAAGACGAGGAAATGGCCAACTAGTAGCGCGGATGCAGGGTAATGGCGGGTGGATAGGCAGTGGTTAAATCTAAAACTTGCTCAAAATCTGGTATCTATTTTTACGTGTCAATTTTATGATCTCAGCCTTCTCAGTATTCAATGTTATTCCTTTCAACAAAATACGACTCATATAGTAACACATTCTCATAAGCAGTCTACGCTTCTCTTCTCTCTTCATATTCCTTCATTTTTTGCTTTTTTCTTTCTACCTCTCATCTTTCTTTCTCTCCATCCTTCAAGTTTCCATCTTTGATCCCCCTCCCAATGTCGACCGTTGACGATTTCCTGCAGCAGATGTCAGATTACCTCCAGGGTGCTGCAGACAGTGAAGCCACCAACACCAGCTGTGGCATCTGCTCCGGCCCCTTCTTCCTACCTTTCCACTGGAGTCCCGAGAGCCCCCATTCCTTCTGCCTGGAATGTTTATGGAATTCTTTTGCTGGTTTTGACTCTGAAGTCATTCTGGCTTGCCCGCTCTGCCGCTGCGAAGTTGTACAGCCTTTTTATAACTGGGAAGTTCATAACTATATGGAATTGCATGGCATTCAGCCTGAACAGCCTCCGGTGGAGCAGCAGAAACTTCTGATAGCCTTCCTCTTCATCCGGATCAGTAGTGTGGATGATGAGGTGATGTGGGATGTGGACCTTCGTGAGGAAAGAATGCAGACTAGGTCGGGTAGTCCTATCACTGTTGCAGCTGGGGAGCCTGGGATCCCAGCAATCCTTCTGGCTGCAATGACCGCGACCATTGGGGTGTACAAATCGCTGGAGGACCTACCAAACCGTCGCCCTGAAGACCGCTGGATCACTGCTCTCCTCAACCTTCGTGATCAAATTCCCATGGAGATCTTCCGCAGCCGAATGCAGGGGATTCGATTTGTGGCAGATGTGATCCAGTTGACCCTGGAGGACTACATGCCTGGCTATCAGAGCTGGTAGTGGAGGATGGGAACATGGTAAGTGATGATCAGCAGGTCTGAGAGCATTGAACCTGACCACTACCTTATAGCTGGATAATGATGGTTTGGAGAGGGAAAGAAAGGAGAAAGAAAGATGGAAGCAGATAAGCGCAGAGAAGGAAGGGAGCAATCTGCATGAATGTGATAGCAGTGATGCGGCCTTAAGGCAAATGTTTTCACAAAGGTAAAATACTAGCTCTCAATTCTGGCGAGTATGAACTGAAAATTTCTAACAACCAACATCACTGCTTGTCTATGACATCTGGATCCTCCCGTGCACGTTGGAGCTCTTTGATCATACTACACCTCCCTTTGCTATATTGGATAGCAAGGTGCCGGCACGTACAATATTTCCTTCTTCACCTTTCTTCTCTCAGGAACGGCTAGGCATGTATGATTTCATTTCCTCCAGTCGTACGAAGACTGTGAACGACACCTAGGCAAGGCTTGCACCTCTACATTGGTGTCTCGGGCTAGTAGCTGTATTCTGGACAATGAAGCCATGATATCACGTGGACTAGTGGTGAAGGGCGTTTGGGTTGCCCGATCTTGGATAACTATGACATAATCTCGCTGCCCAATAATTTTTCGTATTTGCATGAAATTTTGTGTCTATTCAATTTCTTCCTCTCAGTTTCATTTATATCCAACGTACCATGAGAGGCTCCGGACGTCAGTTTGACAAATAGCCAATTTCCTGAACTTGGCGCTATAGCCTGAATGGATTGAACGAGGACGGCGTTGTTGCTCCCGTGGCCACCTGGTACTGTTGGGCCGACTTCCAAATCGCATGTCCTACCCCACCACGTCATGCGCAATTTTTCCTTTCGAGTTGAAGCAGCAACAACCTGAGGGTAACCAAAGCAGCCTACACCTATGATTCAAGATTTTTTCGCGAAATACAAAAATGATTTGGCTCATTGCCTGACCAACTGCTCCTAGCGAGGTTGATACCATTTCGTCCTTCGGACAAAGTACAATCGACCGTCCTCTCGATCACCTGGTTACGCAACTGGCAAGACCTCATACGTGATTTACTCATCCACTGGCTCTTTAGAAGATTTTGTGTCAGAAAATGGAGGTAAGTATGATTTCGATCTTAAGTTGCTCGCTGTAACTGGCTTGGCTAATGTATGCTTATACACTAGAGAGGGGACGAAGCTCTCGCTGGGCGGGAAGAGGAGAAAATTCCAAGCCATCGTTTCCCTCCGGCAGAACATGCTAGGAGGATCTGCTTCAAAGGCTACTACCTTTCGATCTACAACCAACAAACAGACCACCACGAAGTGCACCAAAATAACAAAACGCCTACAACCGAATATGTGGAATATGAGGTTCCAGCTGGATACACGGTTTACATAAGAGGCGCAAGCGTATATTTCACTAAATCCTAGGAGGAAATCGTAAGCTCCGAGCCGAAGATATTATTGAGGCGATATCCGTCGTCGTTACCACACCAGATTGTGAAGGAGACATCTTGTCTATTATCCTTCGGGAACAAACTTGCCCAGCATCCTGTCGTGTCCATACCTTGACTTCTTTCCCACTCCCAGAGCCGGCTATTCTGGACAGCTGTTTTGAACGGCTCTGGTAAATTCGATATGCCTTCAGCGGGTGAATTAGTGTACATATGCTTCATTTCTGTTGATAAATTTGTTAGATGTTGAATTGATCTTGCATATAAAGCTTCCTCTCACCTCTATTTTCCTTCGACGGATCAGGTGGCCCCAGATTCTCTCGCTCATTTAGTAGGGGTAAATGAGGTATACCCTGCGGATCTATGTTTGAGCTGTTAGCCATGTCCTATGCGCAGGGGCGATGGTATATACTTGGATTGAAGGTAGATCCAACAAATGCCATTGGTTGCAGCATAGCTTCTCTAATGTAAGTGTTACTGAGATTTGAAACATTCCTTTAACTTACTCGTTCTTGCGGTACCCTGGCCATAGGGCTGGGAAGATATTCTGCCAACTTGTGCGGGTCGACCGGTGTCACCCACCCTCCGACGGCGCTGGTACGTATGCTGGGAGATCTCTACTATACAGGGGTCAGTGGAAGCGGAGAATGAACAGGAGGGTCGGTTGTACCGCGAAGGTATTTAAACTCGTCGCTCATCGGCCGTTCCTTCTCCAATTCATCCATAATCTCGACAATGTCGTCCGGCCAATCCTGCTCCTGTTCTTCCTCAACTAGTTTGATAAGACCCTTGAAAACCTCCAGGCTCGATTCGGTCCAAACTTTGGTTGGATAGGCTGTAACAAAAGTGATCACACCATGAGGGTGTTTTCGACACAAGCTGCGGATGGTATGAATCCTAACAGAGCTGGTCGCCATCAGAGCCTTGGTGCTTTTGCTCTTATATGCTGCCTCCCTTGGAGGGCCGAATATCAACCTGAGGTTGGCCTTTACGGTTCGTGGTGATTCTAATTCTGCGGCTATTGATAACTTTCGTTTGTGTGAGTCTGCTTTGGTCTTGAGCTCGTGAACCCTCTCTTCCACGCGTTTTCGACAGGCAGCAGCTGCGGCTTCGGCTTCTCGTTGGATCTTGGTCACGGCGTACATCAATTTCGAAGTCCATTTGGAAATCTCGGCGGCTTGGCTCGTGGCGAGATCCGCCGACTTTGCAAATTGCACAGACATTGCCTCAAAACGTTTGGCCTGTTCCATGAGCGTGTTGATGGCGTGAGTGCCAAGAATCAATCTGGTTGCCATTTTTTTAGGTTCCAGAAGTTGGTGACCATGTCTCCCTGGGATGATTCCTGCTGAAGGGGAACAGAGATCGCTTAAATAGTTTTTTGTGGCGGTCCCCGCAGGATTGATTCCAGTCATCCGCTCGGGCCCGTACTGCCCAACCAATGGAATGAATGTTTTGTTAATAGTTCCAACTCTTATTTTCGGTGCGGGAGCCTGTCGAGTTTCAAGATCCTGATTGGTTGATGAAGGGTGTCAAGAGTCCGTTGAACAGGTGGGGGATGGTTGGCCCAACCAGGTCGACTGTTATCCCAAAATCTCATGCAACATTTGAAAGATTTTGAACAATGTCTGTCGATTTCCACCGCTCACCAGGGACTTCGTTCTGCTTGATGATCAGAAACGTGGGACATATCAACTGGAATGAAAGGGTTCACTCACGGTCCTCTTCGCGACAGTTTCTGGCAGTCGTCACTTCATCCACGGAGATATAAACACTCGCCCGCATATATTTGCCAGTTCCCACAACTTGGGGGAATACTTGCGGAACGTAGCCACCAAAGATGGATATCCTCTTTGCCACTTTAACACCTGCAAATGACATCGCAAAGATGGCATTTAGCGATGCCTACGACACCATAGCGCGCGGTCAGCAGGGAGCTTCAACAGACACCACAGTCTATCGCATCAGGGTCGCGTCTGAACAGGAATACGATGCTGATGTGCTTCTGTTTCAACGAGAAATGGATCGCAAGCTCAGTGAAGGAGATATTAGTGAGAGCCTCACGGAGCCCGACACGGATACTGAGCTCGAGAGTCGACACCTAGGCATGATATGGAAGGGCCATTACGTCCTAGGGTTCCAACATCACCCGTCCGCTCCGAATCTGGGGTGGGTTGTGGGAAAGAGGGTGGTAGAGAGAGGCCCCTACGCCGCCGATATCTTTCTCTGCACCGGCGCCTTTGCTAAGCGCCACAGCCTCAACCTCCGGAGCTTTCATGCTCGATTCAACTTTGATCTGAAGAACAGAGCCTTCTTCATTGCTAGCATCACTAGTTCACCGTCGGCAGGGCTCGCAGTCAACAGCGAGGTAGTTCGCCGACAAATCCATGCCTTGAATCAGCATTGCATGAAAATCCGGGTGAACTCATTGGTATATAACTTCCAGTACACAGATTTCGCGCCCACAGAAGAATTTATTAAGCAGCGGAAGAGATACTTAACCGCCACACTAGAGGCTCCTTCTGCCATTTTTGACATGCCGACTCCACATCGCAACACCAGGACAATTGGACAATGGACCCTTAATGATCCTCTGGGTAAGGGTAGCGCTGGAAGGGTGTTCCTTGCCTCCGATTCAAAGAACCAGGTGGTTGCAATAAAAATCATGCAATGCACTTCCAAATCTGCGGGAGCGGTGGGCATGGAAATTGCTCGGTAACAGAACGATGGCGGACATCTTGTTCGGTTAAAGGAGACGATCAACCAAGAATATCCCTGACCTTGTTCACCTCCGACAAATGTGTCCAGGCCGGATACTTGGTGAGGACTGCATCTAACTGTGACTTGGCAGCCCTAAAATTCTCCTCTGTGTGCGCACAATATAACTTGACAAATTTCTCATGGATGCCTTTGAAATGAAATGCTGACTGGAAGAATAACCTTTCAGTTGAGTCAGATAGAAGGTCTGATACTTTTGAGACAGAATGCTGCGAAATCTCTTTCTTCCTAAGTGTGTGCTCAAGATACGCCCGGTCCACTTCAAAGGATTCCCCTAAAACAACGCCATCGTTGTTCCAACCAGGGATGTCGGCTATAAACCAAGGATGGTGTATGACAGCTGGGATGGGTGCAACATGGATCCAATCCCAGTCAATTACCCTATAGCAGATCAGTCAGAGAACATGTAACAAAAAACCGAATTTTAGCAATCTTACCCTGTTAGTTGAAACTTTTCATCAATCATGATGTTATACGGATTAAGGTCCCCATGTGCGAAGCCTAGGTCCATGTAAGTATCCCACTTAGCGTAGGATGGGATCATGGACCTGATGATCAAGTAATCAACTGCATTGCCCCATTTTGCCATTCCAGACAGGGTCCTTCGAAGCGCTCGGTCCAAGCTCTCTGTCAACCAAGTAGAATATGGCAAACTTGATGATGTAGGCAACATTGACGCAGGGCCTGGAACAGTCCATAATTGCAGTAGGAAGTCTGCAAGATCATCAAGGAGCCTGTGGCGCTGAGCCAAAGCTATTTGAGAGTTCCAGATCGCTAATGGTTTGCCAGGAAGCCATTCCGAATACAAGACACGATTCTCGAAGACGATATCTGGAGCCTTGATCTCTGGACATCCCCTTTTGAAGTATGTAAACTTTTCCATAGCACGCAGCTCAGATTCCCAATCATCAGGATCATGGCAGACTCGGGCAGCCCATTGTATTGAGTCCTGGAACAAGACTTTGTAGACATCGTGGGAGCCGCCGCGGTGGGGATTGCTGTCAGGCAACGACCATTGAATTCCTGGGCGAAGACGAGAGATACCGGAAAGAATATCGGTAAGTCCCTCCCTTTTCTCCATATCTTAGAATTTGCTTGGCTCGACGACACAGTCAGGCTACTTCAATGGATTTCTGTCTAGTCCTAGGGAACATGCAGCAGCGAAACAGCACCAGGGTTTGGTAATGAATCCGTGGGTGTGAAGGCGAGATGGAGCGTCGTGGGTAGGGTATAATGTGACAGACTGTATCTGATCAATTATATAGATTATTTTATTACACTTCACAGATTTCAATCACTTTATTCTTGAATATATATACTCTGATTCTTAATTATTCTCAATCATCAATTCTCAGCTGCGATGAACATGTATAGATTCTTTCACTTCAGAGCTTCACTGTGTATACTATTATATACATGTATAAATATTTACTTTAATTACTGATTCTTACACTTTCTCTTTCTTTTTCTTCTCTAATATTTTTCTCTTTATTATATAAGATCTATTAATATCATATCAATCTATTCAGTATAGGCCTCTTATAAATTATTATTATTATTATTATTATTCTTTCATTATACTTATATGCAAGTGAAGCTTATGATGAGTCCTTGTGTGATGTTAAATACAGGTCAAGTGTTGATTATACAGGAGGAAATACAGGTGTTGAGACCATGCCAAGATAATAAGAACATAGAAAAATACAAAGAAGTGACAATTAGATATGTATGATAATAACTTTCCAGCCCAGAAACATAGAGCAATTTATTGAAGTAATTTGTACATCTCTGTATTTATTAGAAATCTGAGGTGCTTAGATTCCGGATTTAATGTATTCCCTGCGGGTTTTGAACTCACACACCTTGGTTTCCCACATCAAGGTGCTACTGGGTGACCGCATTAATCATTCGGCCACCGGGGCTCTTACAAATTATTTCTAATAAGAAGATAATGAATATTTTTCAAGTATAAGAGATCTACACTGAATAAATTAATATAATGAATAGATCTTATATAACAAAGTATAAAATGTTAAAGAAGAAAAGAAAAGAGAGAAAGTGCAGAAATCAGTGATCAGAGTGAATATTTATACATGTATATAATAGTATACACAGTGAAGCTTTAGAGCAGAAGAATAGAAATTCTGTAGATTTTCAGCTGAGAATCAGCGACTGAGAATTGAAGTAATAGAAATCTGTGAAGTGTAACAGAATAGTCTATATAATTGATTAGATATAGCTTGTTACAGACAGAGTTAAAATATCTTAATACATATAAGTCTCTGTGTACAAAGACATTGCAGAGTTAAGCTTAAAACAGAAGACTCTGCAAGATTGATTTTACAGCTTATTAATAGAAGAAATAGAACTGTAACTATAGTAAAAGTATATTTATAAAGTGAAATAAGATTGACTTAAGAATAAGTTAAATAATAATACAGATAATTGATAAAAGACTGAAGAGAGATCTGTAAAACTAAAAGATAAATTAATTATCAAAGATAATAACTGCAGCTGTTTTCTCAATTGAGTTAAGAATGAAGTTAATAAGAGATGTTCTTTATAATATCTGATAATATAGTAAGCTCTTTGAATAACAGTTTTCTTTTTATAGACTGCTGTTAATAAAGATATATCAGAACTATAAATCTTATAGTAATAAAACTTAATCTCAGATAATATATCTATTTCAATAGACTGTTTACAGACTTAGAAGACTACTGTTAATTATATAAAGTATTAATATATCTAGAATAATAGAGAGAGTTCAGACTTATTTATTACAGAATCTATAACTGTAGAAGAATCTGATTTTACTATATATATTTATTATAATGTAACGGAACCGAAGCAGTGACTAGTCAGTAATGTCATGTAGAAGTAGTTGTTTTAAGAAGTTATATAAGTGAGCTTAACTATCTTGCTTAAATAGTGAGCTTGTAGACTACAGAGTTATTGTGAGAATATCACAGATATAATACTTAGTATACTAAGAAGATTGTATAAGACATGCAGTAACTCTTATATATATTTCAGTAGAAGTAAAATGAATTACTGACTTCTTTAATGAGAAGTCAGCATCTAGCTATTTTATATAGATAATGAGTGAATACTCTTCTTTCATTTCATAAGTGAGAATAGCTGAAGTAATATCTTAGCAGTGTCTTATTATTAAGAAAGAGTGATCTGCTGATCTTGTATAGAAGTGAGATTCTTATATTCATCAATTGAATCTTTCTATAATATATCTGAATAATGTTATAGAGTGATTGAAAATCAGTTCAGTCAGTCTGCAGAATGAATGAAATTATCTGCATGAAAGTGATAAGCTGTATGAAACTGCAGCAGAGTCTTGACACAGTCAGAGATGTGATAATACTCTTTTCTTTAAGAGCATAGTCTTAATACTTTCAAGATTATCAGATTAGAAATTATCTTTGTTGTATAGTAACAGTTATTAACTGATTTAACAGTGTGTGTACTGTGTATAATACAAAGAAATAGATGAGTTTTTCTACTGATTATATAGATCTTTCTTTCTCATCTTCATTCAAATCAAATATATAATAAGTGAGTTTCTTATATATCAATTTGAAATGTGAAAAACATAGTTAATAAGTGACTTACAGATCTTTCAATATATTCTGTTCTATATATGAAATTCTCTGCAAAAGTGATGTGTTTTTAGAGACAAAGTTAACAGTAGTAACAGGATTTTTTGAAAAGATTCTCTTCTCTTATGAAACATTTTTCTTTCTCTTCTCTCAATTACAATAGTGAGTGTATAAGAGTATCATTCTTGAAGGACAATCAAGGGCTTATTCTGATGTTTTCTAGTGAGTAAATGTCTTCATGATGCAGCTGCGGCCTTCATGACTGTCAAGAAAGCCAGGTTGAAGACAGCAGTGTCAATAAGCTGCAGAAGCACTGCTCTCATTGTCACATCTTCTTCTACTTCTCTTACAGCTGTGGTGAAAGTTGCTGTGCTCTGCAGTGAGATGTCATCTCTTCTGCCAGCTGATGCATCTATGTTCAGTTCATTCTCTGCTCTCTTTATCACTGTTGCAACATCACTCTCTCTCTCAGTCAATACAGTAGTATATGACTCTGTGTGATCATTCAGAGAGAAACTCAGAAAGAGCTTGATTTCAGAGACAGTGACTCTGAGAAGCTTAATCTGTAGTTTCTCTCTCACAGCACATCTGAGCCCTGCTCAGAATACTGCTGAGTTGAGTTCACAGAATTCTACAGTTTCTTCATCTTCTCTCTGTAAGAAGGCTCTGATACAGTCTCTGACTAATATCACTACTTGTCTGCACTGTATTAAGCAGTTGAAGAAGAGAAGAATCTTATATATCTGTCTCTTCTCTTACTTCTATTATTTTTATTGTATCTGTAATAATAACTTCTATCTCTCTGTAAGTATTATCTATTCTACAAGAAGATGTTATATTAACTCTGATAAAAAGCTCAGATGCTTAAGCAGTACAGAGTAAGAGTCTCAGAACTTTAAGTATTAGTGAATTTTATCAAGACTGAGAAGATCTCTCTTACTCATCTGTAAAAGAAAATGAAAGTGTGAATCTTTAAGATGAAAAAACATCTCAGAATAACTGACTCTAAGAAGAAGTCAGTCAGTGCTGCTGTTGAAAGTATCACAGAGATTAATCACTGATTGAAGAGAATCTTACTTCAATTAAAGCAGATAACTGAGATGCTTTATAAGTTAATAAGTTAATATTTTATATATTTCTTCTACTCTTCTGCAGTGCTGCAGTACTAACTTCTCAGCAGATAAAAATATCAGTGTCAGAGACTTCAATGATGAAGAATAAGTTTGATAAGAGTGTAATTATTGATGAGTAGACTCTGATCTCTCTTTTTACTTTTTCAGCAGACTGTGATCTCATTAGAATAGCAGCAGCTCACAGATTGATAATATTAATCTTTTTATTAATTTCAAATATCTTTTTTCTTTTAATCACTTCAAAAATGTTATACTTGTGTAGTCTTATTAAACTTCTAAAAACTCTTTAAGAGAAAATAGAAGAAGAGTGCTACAGAGTTTATAAGATATCAGCTTATTACTGTGAGATCATCTCTAAAAAACTCTTTAAGAAAAATAAGAAGTCTTAAGCAGTATTTCTTACTTAATATCTCTGATATGTAACAGAGCAGTCTCTACTAGTCATCTTATAGATTACAATCTCTTTCTCAGTATTTTTCAAATACTTAAGTGATTCTCATGAATTCTCTGATAATGAATAATCTTCTTATTTAATAAGATATTAAAGCTTACTGTAATATATTCACTTATTCAATATTTTCTTCATAAGATATTCAGTATCACTCTCAATCTTGATATTATTCAGCTGAGATGACTCTGTCTCAGAGCATTGCTTATAGAGCTTTAAATAGAAAATGTAAAAAACAGAATGAATTGATTTCAATTCTGTGATTAATTTTAACTTATATATCTGCTTATTTATCACTCTTATTACTGAGAAAGATTCTAGTCACTACTCACTGAGCTTTTTATATAATCTCATTGTCTTGATATTCTTTGCTGAAAGTAGTACTTAATTCTCTATCAAGAACTTCATTGAAAGATGTTTTTAATTATAGTATTCTGTCTACTACTTCTAAGTGTGATGAATGCTTTTCATCATCTTCTTATAAATTTTATTTAAAAGTTTCAATCTCACTTTTACTTCTGATACTGAGAAATACTTTATTCTTTGTATCTATTTGACATTCTGACTGTCTATCTCTCTCTTTGAAACATCATCTGTGATGTCACTGAATAATGAAGAATTATATTTATAATAAGTATAGAAAGAAGATATCTTTAAGATTACATTCTTTACATTATTATATATAAATTCAGCAGTTAGAAGATGTTTGAGTCAATTATTCTGATAATATAAACAGAATACTTGAAGATGCTATTCTAGTGTCTGATTCTAGTATTCAGTCTGATCATTGATCTGCAGATGAAATACAGTACTGAGAAGACATCTTATTATAAGATGATAGCAAAAAGTCAATCAGTATTTACTGATAAAGAGAGATTCTTAATCTGTTATTAATAATTTTAAAGTACTATGATTACAAATGATGATATCTAAAAATAGATCAGCTAATTCAGAGACTTTAATCTTTTTATAAGTAGAGATATATCTGATCATCTTTATGAAGTAATTAATAATGATTAAAATTAAGTTATATTCTTTA